TCACTAGCTCACTCACTACCACACTCACTAGCTCACTCACTACCACACTACCTCACTACCTCACTCACTACCTCACTACCTCACTCACTACCTCACTCACTACCACACTACCTCACTACCTCACTCACTACCTCACTACCTCACTCACTACCTCACTCACTACCTCACTCACTACCACACTCACTACCTCACTCACTACCTCACTCACTACCACACTCACTACCACACTCACTACCACACTCACTAGCTCACTCACTACCACACTCACTAGCTCACTCACTACCACACTACCTCACTACCTCACTCACTACCTCACTACCTCACTCACTACCTCACTCACTACCACACTACCTCACTACCTCACTCACTACCTCACTACCTCACTCACTACCTCACTCACTACCTCACTCACTACCATCACTCACTACCTCACTCACTACCTCACTCACTACCACACTCACTACCACACTCACTACCACACCTCACTAGCTCACTCACTACCACACTCACTAGCTCACTCACTACCACACTACCTCACTACCTCACTCACTACCTCACTACCCTCACTCACTACCTCACTCACTACCACACTACCTCACTACCTCACTCACTACCTCACTACCTCACTCACTACCTCACTCACTACCTCACTCACTACTTCACTCACTACCTCACTCACTACCACACTACCTCACTCACTACCTCACTCACTACCTCACTCACTACCACACTACCTCACTCACTACCTCACTCACTACCACACTACCTCACTCACTACCTCACTCACTACCACACTACCTCACTCACTACCTCACTCACTACCACACTACCTCACTCACTACCTCACTCACTACCTCACTCACTACCACACTACCTCACTCACTACTTCACTCACTACCTCACTACCTCACTCACTACCTCACTACCTCACTCACTACCTCACTACCTCACTCACTACTTCACTCACTACCTCACTACCTCACTCACTACCTCACTACCTCACTCACTACCTCACTACCTCACTCACTACCTCACTCACTACCTCACTACCTCACTCACTACTTCACTCACTACCTCACTCACTACCTCACTCACTACCTCACTCACTACCGCACTACCTCACTCACTACCTCACTCACTACCTCACTACCTCACTCACTACCTCACTCACTACCACACTACCTCACTACCTCACTCACTACCTCACTACCTCACTCACTACCACACTCACTACCTCACTCACTACCTCACTCACTACCACACTACCTCACTCACTACCTCACTACCTCACTCACTACCTCACTCACTACCTCACTCACTACTTCACTCACTACCTCACTCACTACCACACTACCTCACTCATTACCTCACTCACTACCTCACTCACTACCACACTACCTCACTCACTACCTCACTCACTACCACACTACCTCACTCACTACCTCACTCACTACCACACTACCTCACTCACTACCTCACTCACTACCACACTACCTCACTCACTACCTCACTCACTACCTCACTCACTACCACACTACCTCACTCACTACTTCACTACCTCACTACCTCACTCACTACCTCACTACCTCACTCACTACTTCACTCACTACCTCACTACCTCACTCACTACCTCACTACCTCACTCACTACCTCACTACCTCACTCACTACTTCACTCACTACCTCACTACCTCACTCACTACCTCACTACCTCACTCACTACCTCACTACCTCACTCACTACCTCACTCACTACCTCACTACCTCACTCACTACTTCACTCACTACCTCACTCACTACCTCACTCACTACCGCACTACCTCACTCACTACCTCACTCACTACCTCACTACCTCACTCACTACCTCACTCACTACCTCACTACCTCACTCACTACCTCACTCACTACCACACTACCTCACTCACTACTTCACTCACTACCACACTCACTACCTCACTACCTCACTCACTACCTCACTCACTACCACACTCACTACCTCACTACCTCACTCACTACCTCACTCACTACCTCACTCACTACCTCACTACCTCACTCACTACTTCACTCACTACCACACTCACTACCACACTACCTCACTACCTCACTCACTACCTCACTCACTACCTCACTCACTACCTCACTCACTACCACACTACCTCACTACCTCACTACCTCACTCACTACCACACTCACTACCTCACTCACTACCACACTCACTACCTCACTCACTACCACACTCACTACCTCACTACCTCACTCACTACCTCACTACCTCACTCACTACCTCACTCACTACCACACTCACTACCTCACTCACTACCTCACTCACTACCTCACTACCTCACTCACTACCTCACTACCTCACTCACTACCTCACTCACTACCTCACTCCCTACCTCACTCACTACCTCACTCCCTCACTCACTACCATCACTCACCTCACTCACTACTCACTACCTCACTACTACCTCACTCACTACCTCACTACCTCCTACTACCTCACTCACTACCTCACTACCTCACTCACTATCTCACTCACTACCTCACTCCCTCACTCACTACCTCACTCACTACCATCACTCACTACCTCACTACCTCATCACCTCCTTACTCACTACCTCACTCACTACCTCACTACTCACTCACTACCTCACTCCCTCCTCACTACCTCACTACCTCACTCACTACCTCACTACCTCACTCACTACCTCACTACCTCACTCACTACCTCACTACCTCACTACCACACTCACTACCTCACTCACTACCTCACTCACCTACCCTCACTACCTCACTTACTCACCTCACTACCTCACTACCACACTCACTACCACACTCACTACCTCACTCACTACCTCACTACCTCACTCACTACCTCACTACCACACTCACTACCTCACTACCTCACTCACTACCTCACTACCACACTACCTCACTACCTCACTCACTACCTCACTACCTCACTACCACACTCACTACCTCACTCACTACCTCACTACCTCACTCACTACCTCACTACCTCACTCACTACCTCACTCACTACCTCACTACCTCACTCACTACCTCACTACCTCACTCACTACCTCACTACCACACTCACTACCTCACTCACTACCTCACTACCTTCACTCCTACCTCACTCCCTCACTACCTCACTCACTACCTCACTACCTCACTACCACACTCACTACCTCACTCACTACCTCACTACCTCACTCACTACCTCACTACCTCACTACCTCACTCACTACCTCACTACCTCACTACCACACTCACTACCTCACTCACTACCTCACTACCTCACTCACTACCTCACTACCTCACTACCTCACTCACTACCTCACTACCTCACTCACTACCTCACTACCTCACTCACTACCTCACTACCTCACTACCTCACTCACTACCTCACTACCTCACTACCTCACTCACTACCTCACTACCTCACTACTTCACTCACTACCTCACTACCTCACTCACTACCTCACTACCTCACTCACTACCTCACTACCTCACTCACTACCTCACTACCTCACTACAACACTCACTACGACACTCACTACCTCACTCACTACCACACTACCTCACTACTACCTCACTACCTCACTCACTACCTCACTACCTCACTCACTACCTCACTACCTCACTACCACACTCACTACCTCACTACCTCACTCACTACCTCACTACCTCACTCACTACCTCACTACCTCACTACCTCACTACTTCACTCACTACCTCACTACCTCACTCACTACCTCACTACCTCACTCACTACCTCACTACCTCACTACCACACTCACTACCTCACTACCTCACTCACTACCTCACTACCTCACTCACTACCTCACTACCTCACTACCTCACTACTTCACTCACTACCTCACTACCTCACTCACTACCTCACTACCTCACTCACTACCTCACTACCTCACTTCCGCCTCTCCCCCCCCCGCCCCAGGTCTCCCCCGGCCACTTGCCGTGCGGCCGCCGGCGTTCACGCACGGGCGCCCCGGGCCCCGCGGGCCGCCCGCTCCGCGCCGCCTGGGACCCCGAGGCCTCGCCGGCCGCCCCCTCGTCGCGCGCCGAGCGGGAGGGCCGGCCCGGCAAGGAGCGTGCCTCCCGCTCGTCCCTCGGGGCCCGGGGTGTCCAGGGGCCCGGGGGAGAGACGGCGTCGCAGGCGGGGGCCGGCCTCCACCGGGCCGGAGGAGGAGGAGGAGGAGGAGGAGGAGGAGGAGGAGGAGGAGGCGGTGGCTCTCGAAGCCAGGAGCGGGCCCCCCGCTCGGGAGCCGGCGCCGCCGGAGGGCCGGGCGACGTCGCCGCGGCGACGGCTGCGGCGACGTCGCTGCACAGGAAGTGGTCGTCGCTGACGCGGCTGCACGGCGCCGCCGGTGGCGCCGGTGGCGGTGGCGGCGGCGGCGGCGGCAGCGGCGGCGAAGCGTCGGACTCGACGCTGGGCGGCCGGGGCGGCGGGGACGAGTCCTCGGAAACGGAATTGGCGGCGCCGGCGTCAAGGAGCGCCGGCGGCGTCTGCTCGCCGGCCGAACGAGACGCAGGCGGCACGGACAGCGGCGCCGTCGGCTTCGCGCCGATGCCGGAGAGTAAACCTCCGCTCGGCCGCTTCGCCTCCCATGGGCAGCATCAGCAGTACCAGCAGCAGCAGCAGCAGTGCCAGCAGCAGCAGCAGCAGCAGCAACAGCAGCAGCAGCAACAGCAGCAACAGTTGCACCAGCAGCAGCAGCAGATGCATCAGCAGCAGATACAACAGCAGCAGCAGCAGATACAACAGCAGCAGCAGCAGCTGCAACAGCATCATCAGCAGCAGCTGCAACAGCATCATCATCAGCAGCAGCAGGTGGTGGCGTTGGGCCTGCGAGCCGGAGGGGGCTTCGGGGCGCCGGCCCCACAGTGGCCGCCCGGGGCCACCGTGGACGAGGCCGGGGTGGCCGTGTGGCAGCAGCAGCAGCTGGAGGAGTTGCGCCGCCACGTTTCGGATCTGCAGGTGAGCGGGCGGTTGCACTCACTCGCTCACTCACTCGCTCACTCACACACACACTCACTCGCTCACTCATTCACTCGCTCACTCGCTCACTCACTCATTCACTCGCTCACTCGCTCATTCACTGATTCACTCACTCACTCACACACACACTCACTCACACACACACTCACTCGCTCACTCACTCATTCACTCGCTCACTCGCTCATTCACTCATTCACTCACTCACTCACACACACACTCGCTCACTCACTCATTCATTCACTCACTCACTCGCTCATTCACTTATTCACTCACTCACACACACACTCACTCGCTCACTCACTCATTCACTCGCTCACTCATTCACTCGCTCACTCGCTCATTCACTCATTCACTCGCTCGCTTACTCATTCACTCGCTCACTCATTCACGCGCTCGCACGCTCACTCACTCATTCACTCGCTCGCTTACTCACTCACTCGCTCTCTCACTCACTCACTCACTCGCTCATTCACTCGCTCACTCGCTCACTCACTCGCTGTCTCACTCACTCGCTCTCTCACTCACTCGCTCATTCACTCGCTCACTCGCTCGCTGGCTGAATCGCCAGTGCCCGCTGGTGCTCGCTGCCGGTGGGTGGAGACACTCGCTCCCCTGTGTGCCACCGGTCCCCGTCACGCGGTGGTGGTTGGTGGGGAGCGGGAGGGGGTGGGGGGCAATTCGCCTTGGGGGCGAGATGTTAACGACCTCGCCGGGTACACAGGAGGTCGTGCGTTCAAGCCCCGACCCTGACGCCCGCTGCTGCTGCTGCTGCTGTATATTTGGAGTTTGCGGCGTCTCTCTCTCTCCCCGTGGTCGCGTGGATTTTTTTATCCGGGTCCTCCGGTTTTCCCCTCCACGTTGAGAATCAACGTCACCACGCGTGTAGAGTATTTAGGTGTTGATATAAATTTCCGCGCGCGACGATAAGCCATTTCTCCTTGTGGCCAGGCCGCTTCTGAAACAGGAGCTAATGGCTCAGTGGGCGTTACGTGGTAAAATAAACAGAGACGCGTATTCTTTGGGTCTTCGGGTGAAGTCGCGTAGATAGGGTGAAGGAAAATAACGCGAGCGAAACGTCGTCGGGGATGGGAACAGAATTCGCTCGGTGTTGTGACCCGAAACGTCGTCGTTTTTTGTTGTTGTAATTTTTTATGTTATTTTCTTTCAACCGATCAACGCATTTTTTTTGTTTTTGCTTTATTCTACCACGGAAGACCCAAGGAATATTAATTCCTGCAGACGTGAAAGCTTTAAGTGAAGTAAAAAAAGGAATGTGTTTAATAATAATTCTCTAGCCCCCCCCGGCCACTCCTTCAGAGGGTTTCCAGGCGATGCGTCTTGCGGTCCCACGCCGTCAGGAAGCGGCTCGTCACGCTCACGGCCAGGATCCACATCGCGCGCGGTTTGAACCGGCGACCGAGCCGGGCCGGCCGAGTGGACGGCGGCGGCGGCGGCGGCGGCGGCGGCGGCGGTCGCTCGCTCTGCGCCTCGCAGCAAGTGGGCGGCTGGGTTCGACTCCCGACTCGGGGCTCCGTTGTGTCCGGAGTTTGGGTTGCGTCGTCCGCCTGTGGCCGCAGAGCGTGGCCGAGCGTGTCTGCACGCGGCGAGGACGCGCGAGTGTTTGAGGGAGTGTGTGTGCGAGTGTTTAAGGGAGTGTGTAAGGGAGTGTGTGCGAGTGTGTGCGAGTGTTTAAGGGAGTGTGTGCGAGTGTTTAAGGGAGTGTGTGCAAGTGTGTGCGAGTGTGTGCGTGTGTTTAAGGGAGTGTGTGCGAGTGTTTAAGAGAGTGAGTGCGAGTGTTTACGCGAGTGTTTAAGGGAGTGTGTGCATGAGTGTGCGAGTGTTTAAGGGAGTGTGTGCGAGAGTGTGCGAGTGTTTAAGGGAGTGTGTGCGAGTGTTTAAGGGAGTGTGTGCGAGTGTTTAAGGGAGTGTTTAAGGGAGTGTGTGCGAGTGTTTGAGGGAGTGTGTGCGAGTGTTTGAGGGAGTGTGTGCGAGTGTTTAAGGGAGTGTGTGCGAGTGTTTAAGGGAGTGTGTGCGAGTGTTTAAGGGAGTGTGTGCGAGTGTTTAAGGGAGTGTGTGCGAGTGTGTGCGAGTGTTTAAAGGAGTGTGTGCGAGTGTGTGCGAGTGTGTGCGAGTGTTTAAGGGAGTGTGTGCGAGAGTGTGCGAGTGTTTAAGGGAGTGTGTGCGAGAGTCTGCGAGTGTTTAAGGGAGTGTGTGCGAGAGTGTGCGAGTGTTTAAGGGAGTGTGTGCGAGTGTGTGCGAGTGTGTGCGAGTGTGTGCGAGTGTTTAAGGGAGTGTGTGCGAGAGTGAGCGGGTTTGTGTTGGGAGCGGTGGTGTGGCGGTTAGCGCTATGCTGCGCTACGAACCCGGCGACCCGGGTTCGATCCCCGCTCCTGGGCCTCCCCTAGGTCGACTCAGCCTCAACATGAGTACCTGGTGCGGTGTATAAACATTGCCACTGGGGAGACAAAGGCGGCCGGGCGTGGTGCTCGCCACCCACCCCCCGTGCACCGTTCCGGCCTTCACAGGTGCTGCTCTTTAACAGCACTCTGCCCCAACAGTCTGTTAAGGTTACACGGGGGATCTTTGTCTTTGTGCGTGCGAGTGAGTGGAGTTTGTACATTCTCCGCCGCTGCTCTGCATGGCTCTGCTGACGGGTTCTCCGGTTTTTCTCCCATCGCTAAACCCACACGCACACACGCACACACGCACACACGCACGGTGGAATCGGTGTTGGCCAAAGCATCCCAATGCTGAAAGATCGCCAGCCAACGACTCAATTGGGGATGATGCAGCAGCGGCGGCAGCGGCAGCGGCGGCAGCGGCATCACCTCTCCAGCTGCGAAGGCCTTGCGGCAACCTCCTGAGCTAGAGTCTTGAGACTCAATGAGGATCTCTTCTGAGTGAACATGCGTAGTAGTAAAAAATAAAAAACACAGACCTAGAATCATGTCACCAGACAATTACCGGGTATCTCGAGATTCTCCTGCCCACTGGCGGGGCGGGTGGGGGGGGGGTGGTGGCACGTGCCCTCCAATGATCCGATCGAAATCCCTAATTTCGATCGGATCATTGGGGTTTATTAGCAATAAATCGGCATTTTGCGACTCCCCATTGCCACTGTGCAGCATATTATTGCGTGCCGGGGACTATATGAGATGATAGGACAATAGTCTAAGTCCATGATTGGCAATAAGTATCGGCAAAGCGGTTATATAAGTGACTCAGAATTGTGCGCAGTTGCATATACAGTCCACGACTTCCCTGATGGCATTCACCTTTAGCGAGCGCGATGCCGATCACACAACGCGGTTCGAATTCGACCCTCGGTCGATGGCTGCGTCATCGCCACACACGCGTCGAGTAACAAGCAAGGGACAACTCGTTACTTACTAACATCTCCTTACTAACAACTCCTTACTAACAACTCCTTACTTACTAACAACTCCTCTATCATTTTTCATTGCTGGAGGGGTTGCCCCCCCTCCCTGAAAATCCTGGCTCCGCCCTTGCTCCTGCCTAAGTGCGCGTAACCCGAATAATGACGATAGGAGCGTCATAGGAATTCCCAGCATGCTTTGCATGTCATGGTAGCGGCAGTGTTGTTTGCACGTTGTATGAACGTAGAACTTCTTTCGCACCGTACGTAGCCAACCGTGCTTATTGGAGGTGCAGTGTTGAGGTGTATGGGCAGTGTTGAGTCCATGGGTAGTGTTAGCCTTTGGGCAGTATAGGTGAACGTAGAACTTCCTTCGCAACCGTACGTAGCCAACCGTGCTCTTCGGAGGCGCGGAAGTATGCGGTACACAGATGAGTTCCCGTCCCAAACGAAATCAAACGTGAGGTCTTTATTTAGGCGGCGGCGGCGGCGACGGCGGCGTCACATCGATGCAAGGCGTGCGCCGGCTTCGCCCTCGCTGGGACTCGTCGGTACTGCGTAGCCGTCGCCGCCTGCTGCTGCCGCCGCCGCCGCTGGTGGTGCCAGAGCGTGCGCGTGCTCTTGTCGGCTGTGCGCGGACAAAATAGTGAGGAGGTGACAGTGACGAGGACGAGGACGACGACGACGACGTACATAGACGATGGGACACCTCGTCAGCCGGGTGCAACACACGTTCGCATAGTTTGCGGTTGGCATGGGTCGACTGGTCTCTATGTGAGTCTGTGGGTCTCTGTGTGAGTCCGTGGGTCTCTGTGTGAGTCCGTGGGTTTCTGTGTTGTGAGTCGATGGGTCTGTGCGAGTCTATGGCTCTCTATGTGAGTCTGTGGGTCTCTGTGTGAGTCCGTGGGTCTCTGTGTTGTGAGTCGATGGGTCTGTGCGAGTGTATGGCTCTCTATGTGAGTCTGTGGGTCTCTGTGTGAGTCCGTGGGTGTCTGTGTTGTGAGTCGATGGGTCTGTGCGAGTCTATGGCTCTCTATGTGAGTCTGTGGGTCTCTGTGTGAGTCCGTGGGTCTCTGTGTGAGTCTGTGGGTCTCTGTGTTGTGAGTCGATGGGTCTGTGCGAGTCTATGGCTCTCTGTATGAGTCTATGGGTCTCTCTGTGAGTTTGTGGGTCTCTGTGTGAGTCCGTGGGTCTCTGTGTTGTGAGTCGATGGGTCTGTGCGAGTCTATGGCTCTCTGTATGAGTCTATGGCTCTCTGTATGAGTCTATGGGTCTCTCTGTGAGTTGATGGGTCTCTGTGTGAGTCTATGGCTCTCTGTGTAAGTCTATGGGTCTCTGTGAGTGTCTTTGGGTCTGTGTGTGATTCTGTGGCTCTCTCTTTGTGAGTATCTGGGTCTCTGTGTGAGACTACGGGTCTATCTGTGAGTCTATGGCTCTCTGTGTGAGTCTATGGGTCTCTGTGTGAGTCTATGAGTCTCTGTGTGAGTCTATGGCTCTCTGTGTGAGTCTATGGGTCTCTGTGTGAGTCTATGGCTCTCTGTGTGAGTCTATGGCTCTCTGTGTGAGTCTATGGCTCTCTGTGCGAGTCACAATTTGCGCGGGG